CCCTGCTCAGCGGGAAGCCTGCTTCTCCCTCTGCCTGCTGCTCCCCCTGGTTGTGCTTTCTCTCTCTCCATCTCTTTCTCTGACAGATAAATATTTACTTGAGTGAGTGAACGTGGGGGGCAGGGGCAGAGGGAGAGGATCGCAAGCAGACACCCCACTGAGCTCAAGAGCCTGATGCGGGGCCCAATCTCACGACCCTGAGATCATGACCTGAGCCAAAACCAAGAGTCGGAGGCTTAACTGACTGAGCCACCCTAAATAATGTTAATTGTACGTCCTTACAAAGTGCTTTACAGCAGCGCCTACCTGATTCATACCAACAGCTCTATGAGATACTTTATGACAAAGGCTAATAATACGGGATAGTGATATTCATGATTCTGTCAATTGGAATCCAGGGTAATGTAGACTCTCCCTATATTACTATGACCTTCGCAAATACCTGCATGCCACAAGCCCATCCTCTGCTGTGTTTGTGCAGCAAGTCAAGCCAGGGACCCTGGACACCTGCTGGGATGTAATTACCCAGCGGGAGGTCAGCCGGGAAACGGAGGTTGACATTTACTGGGTCACCTCATGACATTTACAAGGGAGCAAAGAGAGCTGGTCTCATCTTCCAGGCTTGATCCCTCAGATCCAAAGATGGGTGTAGGGCATCAGAACATGCCAAGGCTAGGGAGGAAGTCTGCCATGCTCCTTCTCTTGGCCTCTGTCGCCCTCTAGACCCAGGGTTTCCAAGCAGGGCCTCCTCCAAGAGGATGTAGGGACAGATGTAACATGTTCCAGAAAATCTCAGACATACCTGGTTCCTATGGGACTCCGGGATCCAGAGTAAGCCTTCTGGAGGGGATAGCGCTGACCCTCATAAATGTTCCTTTCTCCACCTGACTTTGCACCCCCAAATTAGCTTCTTGAAAGAAAGAGACTAGAACTGCCATTTTATCAGGTCACTTACTATGTTTCAGGTCCTGCGCTGGGCACCTAACCTACATTTCCCATTAAATCCCCACGGCCCTAAAGGTGGGTGGTGGTGTTCCCTTTTATTGGTGAGGAAAATGGAGGTTCATAGCGTTCAGTTCTCCCAGAAGGTCTCACGGGTTCACATAGCTTACCTGACCTCAAGGAATGCGAAGGTCATTTGTCTGGGCGGCCCCTCTGACTTCCCCTAGAGTGAGCTGCCTGCAGCCCAGGAGGGAAAGCGAAGAGGAAGCTCTGGTGCCCTTTATGCCCTAGTTTCAGAAGTTACACACGATCACTTCCACCATTTTCCAGTTATTGGAAGTGAGTCTCTAAGAACAGCCCACACTCAGAGGGCAAAAGTTAGCTTCCACCTTTTGAAGGTAGGAGTATCCACAACTTTGTGGACATATTTTTCCATGACGGTCACTGTTTGCCACCAGTTCCCGAACACCTGAGTGTGTAGGTGAACCGTAGGCCACATGCCTAGTCCTGGCTCCCAAGGCTGAGGGCCCATGTCTTGATCACCATTGTCACCTTAGAACCAAGCACAGGGCCGGGCACATAGTAGGTACTAAATAAAATAATTAACAAATTGGAAGTCTGAAACAGGTAGATTCTATCAGTTATGGGAATAATGAGTCTAATGATATCTAGACTATCTGGAGCCTGTCCAGGTTTGTCTACTGACCAGCCAAGTGATCTCATACAAGTAATTTTTACTGGAAGGTGTCTGGATTTGGAAGGGGATCTCTGCCGCCCCTTTGAGCTCTAACTGGCTTGGATAGAGGAGAATGACCGTGAAAAGGATTTGCAGCCCCTGCAAACACAGAAATGTGAACCATCTTCCTGGCCGTGGAGCCGTCACCTCCTGACCGGGGGATCCTCTTCTCTTTCCAGATTGCCCTGCTCCCCAACAGTGCTGCCGACCTGGGCAAGTACATCATGGGCAACAAGATGCTGGCCTCAAACACCTACCTTCCGGGACCTCCTGGGCTGCCTGGGGGCCAGGGCCCTCCGGGTGAGTGGGGAGGAGAGCAAAGGAGGGGGACAGAGCCACCAGCCACTGCCTGCCGGGAGCTCACACGAGTGTGGGCTGGACCAGGTCCAGACTGCATGGGTGAGGGCAGCCGCAGGATTCCGGGGAGCTCCCACACCCGTGTCATGAGAGGCTTGGGGGAATTGGGTCCTCGAGCCTGAGAAACCCTCATAACTGGGAGAAATCTGGAAGAAGAAGGTCATTGTCCTGGGCTTGGGTAAGATTCTTAGAGATCATTTTCAGTTACGGAGAAACAAAATGAAGACTTATTTTTAATGTTAACATACAGAAATATAATTGGGTGAGGAACACATGGGGGCACATCAGCCAGCCGTAACCCCTTGTGGCCAGCCTCATTTCTAATGTTCCTCAGTCTTACTTCCTCCTTCCCCTATTGTTTGTGAACACACTCACATTTGTATTTCTTTATATGTATAGATCTATATATTTTTCTTCGAAGTCAACTTCGCTGAGATACAATTATATACAGTAAAATGTACCCCTTTAATCCAGTTCAAGTTCTGAGGAATGTATACGTCCTACATCAAGCTCGCTCTTACCACTACCCTGTATCAAGATATAGAATATTTCCATCACCCCAAAAAGTTCCCTTGTGCCCCTTTGCAGTCTACTCCCCTGTCCCCAACTGTAGGCAACCACCAACCTGCTTTCTGTCACTACTTTTGTCTGTTCTAGAACTTCAGAGCAATGGAATCTCATCATGGGTGTGGTTTTTGTCTGACTTCCTGCATTCAGCATACTGCTTTAGAGATCCACCCTCATCGCTTGACAAAAATACCAAATGTCCTATTGTTCCATCAAGAAATATATAATGAGAACTTTATTTTTCTTTTTAGCAAATGTTTGGGGGTTTTTTTTTTTAAGATTTTATTTTTATGAGAGAGAGAACGAGAGCACAAGCAGGGGTGTAGCAGGCAGAGAGAGAGGGAGAAGCAGACTCCCCGTGAAGCAGGGAGCCCGATGTGGGGCTTGATCCCAGGACACTGGGATCATGACCTGAGTTGAAAGCAGACACTTAACCAACTGAGCCATCCAGGTGCCCTACAATGAGAACTTTAAAAAATAGTTACATGATGTTTTATATTTTATTATAAGTCCCTCCATAGATAAGATAGATCAACAGAATCCACACCAGTAAAGGAAATGGTATTAGTGTTAGCAGATGATTCTAGAACATGGAGTGTCTTCTCCCTGATTATCATTGCTTAGTAGTGTGCTAGGTGTTATGAATGATGACCTGGCCTTCTAATGACAAAGACAAGACACAAAGAGCAAAGGCAAATAGAAGAAAATGGTATCTGCCTGCCCCTAAGTAAGTGAACAGGTGCTTCCTGCTGTGGGAACTTCCAGGAGAGACCACGGAGGCCTGCAGTGATCCCAGGACTTGGGTTTGAACTGGACATGGAAGAGTGGGAGGGTTTATTCGAGAATATGGGCAGATTTGAGGTTGGAAGTTCAACAAAAACAAAGGCTCCAAATTCCTTCCAGACTATTTATTTGTTTTCTTTTTCACTTATATCTTGATCTCCTGGTTTCTACCAAACATATCAAACTGGGTCTCAGTCTATATAGGGAACAAGAACTGGTCCAGGACCTTGGTTGACCTTGTTCACTCCGTTGGCCTGAGGTACTCTAGCCCATGGTGAAATTTTCTCCAGATCCTCCCACAGGCAGCCTCTTGCTGCTTCTAAGTAGATGTGGGTCTCCTTGCAAATTGATTCCCAGCACAGAGTTCCCCACCCTTCTCTAAGAGTATGTTCTTGCTCTGCTTCCCTGGAAGAAGTTCATCTCTAGGCCAGTCTACAAATCACTCCAACAAGGACAAATGAAGTAGAAACAAGAGTACCATTGGCTGGCTGTCGTCTTAATGAATGACTTGCTAGCTTTCCTTTCCAATTCTGCCGTCTGGTTTCTAACAGAGTTTGAGCTGTCCAGGGTCCTTGATGGAGCAGAGAGTAACAGAGGACTAACTTTAGCAATGGACTGTGCCCTTACTTTGTCCTCCAATCCTTCCTTTCTCTCTCCTTATTTCCAGCATCGGTTTGTGATGTCCTCCATTGAGATGTATTGGGACAGCTTGGAGAGATAAAAAGGTTTCTCTTATCCATAACTAAAAGTCCAGTCCCAGGGCTTACGATGAATCACAGACTAGAGTGTCAGCATGGGAAACTACACTGGGTTGGTGGTGAGGGGGTGGTTGCTGCTCCCCCGACCCCCCTCTCATGTGTAAGATGTTGCCATTCGCACATCAAAGCCCCACATTCTAAGGACACTTGACATACAGTGATCTCTGAAGTTCATTGATTGTGTAAATGAAGGCAAAATTAGGAAAGCCGCTATCAAGAAAAGAACAGGTGTTGGTGGGGTTGTGGAGAAAAGGGGTCCCTTGCACCATGTTGGCAGGAATGCAAACTGGTGCGGCCACTGTGGAAGACAGGATGGAGGTTCCTCAAAAACTTAAAGGTGGAACTAATATGATCCAGCCATCCCACATGTGGGTACAATATCCAAAAGAATCAAAAGCAAGATCTTGAAGAGATGTTTGCATACCTGTACACATGACAATGGTATGCACAATAGCCAAGCCACCTGTGTCCATCCGTGGATAAATGGACAAACAAAAGGTGGTGTATATAGCCGTGCAGTATTATTCTGTTGTGTATGTATTGTATGGATATAGTTATATACATCTATATTTGATACATTAGCTAATGTATATCTACTATATACACACACATTATATAGTATTATGGTACACAATGAAGTAAGCTATTCTCTTACAGAGAAGGGGTGTCGAGATGTTTTTGGAGAACTGTGGTCTACCATGATTATATAAGGATGGAGAATTCTGCTCATGTTAAGTTTAAAATGCCTATGGGGGGGGCGCCTGGGTGGCTCAGTCATTAAGCAACTACCTTTGGCTCAGGCCATGGTCCCAGGGTCCTGGGATTGAGTCCCACATTGGGCTCTCTGCCCCACGGGAAGGCTGCTTCTCCCTCTCCCACTCCCCCTTGCTTGTGTTCCCTCTCTCACTGTGTCTCTCTCTGTCAAATAAATAAATAAAATCTTTTAAAAAAAATAAAAAATAAAATGCCTATGGGGCATCTTAGTAGAGCTATCAGAAGGCAAATGGCAGATTGCAAAGACAAATGGCTGCAAAGGGCTCCCAGACTCTCTGGTCATCCAGAGCCCTTGTCCTCCTCGTGGGATGTGGAGCTAATGAGCTGTTCTTTGATTACAGGCTCACCAGGACCAAAGGGGAGCCCAGGCTTCCCTGGTATGCCGGGCCCTCCTGGGCAGCCCGGCCCGCGGGGCTCAATGGGACCCATGGGACCATCTCCTGATCTGTCCCACATTAAGCAAGGCCGGAGGGGCCCTGTGGTCAGTATTTTATCGGAGATCCATTTACTATTGTTGGGGGCAGCGTGTGTTCTTGTCCCATGCATTTTCCTTCTGTTGAACTAGATCCCTTTGTCTTGTAGGGTCCGCCAGGTGCGCCAGGAAGAGATGGCTCTAAGGTCAGTCTTTTGAGTGGTCCTTATAGCCCAAGTTTTCCCAGTTGCAACCTATTGGGCAGGCATCAAGTAAAGCCCAAGCACTGCGTCCTCTCCCCACTCTGTACATAACAAAATTGAGACACTCTTTTCCCCCAAGCTGGAAAGAAAATCTAAGATGTAAACAACCATAATAACAACAACAACAAAAAAAATCCCCACCAAAACCACCCCTAAGAATGAGCACCAGTGTGCATTTTAAACAGGCCCCTCTGCAGCAGGGGGTTTTTCTCTTGGGCCAGTGTTCTTCGGCAGGGCTGTGTGGTGTGTCCCCACTCCTTTGACATGTTTACTTCAAGAACAGGAAAAGCTCCAGTCTCTGCGAGTGGGTGCTTTCACTTCCAGAGCTCCCCGCTGCTCCCCCCACAAATAAGTCAGAATGCATTACTTTAGAAAGTTGATAAGTTACTTCACAGTTTGCCTGGAAATACAAGCAATGCTCTTGTCTGATCCAGTTTGAAAATACACGGCCCTGGGGGAAATCGGAATGAGAGACACTTGACCCCAGCAGTTCTATTCAAACAAATGGTCCCTTAAGTCCAGCTGCAGGCTTCCATTTGTTTCTGATAGAAAATACTTGTTTGTGTAGGTCAATGGTGATGGTGGGGGTCTACATAGAGCCCAGGGGTGGCTTCCCATGTGATCCCCCAAGCTAATCTGACCTTTCTGCTTGCAGGGGGAGAGAGGAGCTCCTGGACCCAGAGGGTCACCGGTGAGTAGCACTATCTGCCCCGCTCCCTCGGGGGGAATGTCCTCCGGAGTGTAGCTCTGATGAGCCTGTAAGATGGTCTTACCAGCAACAGCCAGCCCCTTCTAGCCATGACTCAGCTACCCAAGGGGAACTCAGTGGTTTAGAGGAGAATATGGAGGACTTTAAGAGCTAATTGGGATTAATTTTTTTTCTTTTGTCATGGCAAATCTTTATGTGGGAGGTCTTAAGATTAAAAAAAGCCAGTATGCCATGAGTCTATTTCCAGGTATGTCCTAAAACATCCGACAGGGCTGTCATAACTCTGAACACTTAAGAGTTTAGCCAGCACTGCAACTCTAGCAGGTCCAATGAGCAGGCCTATCCCCAAAACCCTGCAGACACATGCATGGCTGCTTAGGACCGCCGAGAATACATTGGCTTGGATATATGTTAGTGTCTGGGAGATTAAAAAATGAAAATTAGTAGTATCCAAAGCACAGAAGAGTCAAGCAAGTCCATTGCTTTTGAAAAGATCGGTGTCATTTCTGAAGACCGACAGACAGCCTCGGCTTGGATGCAGGACGTCTGGGTTCTCATCTCAACCCTTCCACCAATTAGCTGTCTTGTCCTGGCCATCCTTAGCACCCCCGGATGTCTGTCCGTCTGCTCATATGTGCAATGGCAAGTGGGATCTGAGCTGCCACTCTTCAAATGAGCATCAGTGACTACCAAAATACTCTCCACCACTAAGGGCTTTGCAGATAGAGTTTTGGAAGCAGCAGCTACAGCATCAGAGGCTGGGCATGATAAGGATATTACTGCAAAGCTGCGAACGAGCCCAAACCTTGCCAGTTCACTCATTAATTTGACATGCCCCACACAGTGCTACAGAGAAGTTAAAGCTTAACAAATACTATGCAATGATAGAAAATGTTCAGTCCATAGAAAAATGAGGAAGGCCTTGGACTTTTCCCAGTCAATGGGGCACGGATGTCTTTACAACATTCTTTCAACTGCATTCAGGTCGCAGTTATAGTCAATGATCCTTATAAACGTTTTAATCATTTCCTTTTTTAAAAGATAATATTTAGAGCATTTTTGATACTCTAAGCCCTTTATATATATATATATATATATAAACTCATTTGGATCCTCACTTACGAAACCCTATGATGTTGAGGCTATTATTATCTCCAGATAGAGAGATGGAAACCCAAAGAAATTGAGTAACCTGCCCAAGACCAACTAGTAAGTGACAGAGCTGAGATTCAAACCCAACAGAATCCCAACCTCTTGACCACTACTCTACACTACCCCGTTTTCTTTGGAAAGTAACATAGGAGGGTTCTTCTCATATTCTTTCATTCTACCAGATTTGATGTAGCTGAGAATTGGGAGGGAGGAGAGAGAATGTGTCACCACAGCTCATACGGGAGATGAATTAGGAGGCAATCTTAAGAACGCTCCCCCACCCCCACCCCCCCAGCCGCCAGCTACTATAGTAGTTATTTACTCCATTTGGGACACAGAGTTATCAACTAAGTAGTTGCCATCAAGCAGGGGGAGTAGCAAATCATGGAGCCTATAGAAGCCATGGCTTTGCACAAGATTGAGTCTGTGGTCTTCTGGCTTTGATTCCTCTCCTGTGCGCAGGGACCCCCTGGGTCTTTCGACTTCCTGCTCCTTGTGCTGGCTGACCTCCGCAATGACATCGCCGAGCTGCAGGAGAAGGTGTTTGGGCACCGGACACACACTTCAGCAGAGGAGTTCCCTGTACCTCAGGAATTTTCCAGCTATCCGGAAACCATGGATTTTGGCTCTGGAGATGAGTACCCAAAAAGAACCGAGATGAGGGACTTGGGACCCACAAGAGACTTTTACCCTTAGCACATCCCATCATCATCATGCCAAAGGAGGAGAAAAGAGTGTTTTCACCTGCAGTTAAATCATAGAAAGAAAAAAAAAAAACAACCCAACCCACTGGAGACCTAGAAAAGATACATCTTTAATTTCTTTCACTCTTTTCCTGCCTTTTTCCCTCCTGCTCTTCTTCTAAATAATATTTTCAGAGTCCCCTGCCAGAGACATGAGGGAGTAAGTCACTCATTTACCTGCTTCCCTCCAAGAGCCAGCTGGGGGCCGGGGGGGGGGGTGGTACATATTGGAACTTTCCTTTTACTTCCTTCTTGTTCACGAGTTTCTGGATTTCTGAGTTAGGTACTCTCATGGTGTCTTAAAGTTTAGCAGAATATCCAAAAGGGAAAGGTGGCAAGGTGAACTCTGAGAAGACATGAGGTTACTTATTAAAAAAAAAAAAAAAAATAGTTGTGTGTCCAAAATAGACTATTACTCAGTATTAAAATTAGCCTTCTTTAATTAAAAGGGGGAAGACAACAATGTATGTTTACCTTGGTGGATAATTCTTTTTCCTTGTCAATCTAATATATTTTAAATATTCTATCCTCTTATCCAACCTTGTTTCCCAATTTTGATTAAAGGAAGGAGGGAAATAAGGAGCAGAGATTAGGGAAGACGGAGGAAAATTATAGTCCTATATTTCCTGTCCTATGAGTTGCCACATTCTAAATTCCAATATGACTATTAAGGGTTTGTGCCATGCATATCTGTAAGTTTCCTCTTCAGAGAAGATTATTACTCTAGCTGTAGGAGTAAATCCTCTTCTCAAAACAAAGTAAATGAATGAAGTGCCCAGATTCTCATTAGAATAATGGGCTCCTGGTTTGCCAAGACACTTTAAAGCTATTTGATCAAATGAATGGGCTTGCTCAGTAAATCACGGATTGTTAAATAAGGGTGGCCGACCCTTAGGGACCCCCGCTGAGTGGCCTGACTCTGGGTGCCCGGGAGAGGCCGTTACACTGTGATCCTAGTTAGATCAGTGTGCACTGTTCTAGCTGGAGGCTGGAAGGAGGTCGCTCGCTTGGGTCACTGGGGAGGGAGAAGGGGAGCCTCAGGCAGGGTCCCCACAGAATCGGCAGAGGCAAGTTAATTTGCACTCCTTGGGAATTGGAAGTCCTTGTCTGGGGCCAGCAAAGCTTGCCAATACAGAGAGTAACACACTTTTGGACATCCTCTTGGATGCAGAGCGAAGAAATAACAGTTTTTCTTGTTTGGCAGAAATTTCCTTCCCACTATTCCCATTTTTCCTTAATTTTCCATCATTTAGTCCAAGTTCTAGTTCTCACAGGCCTTCTCCTTGATCCCCCTTCCTCAGCAGATGTGGGAAGCAGCTGGGAAAGGGGTGTATTCTCAAACCTGCCAGTGAGTCTGTGGTCGCCCATACACCTCTGGGTCCCAGAGGGAGGCGTATTCCAGAAAAGACTTCCTCTGGTTCCTTAGAAATGGGAGCAAGAGAAACCCTGAAGAGATCAGCAGGAGCATCTGCTCCTTTGGAATATCATCGGGGAACCTCTTGGTTTTGATGGGGAGCACACCGTTTTCCTCAAGTCCCCATTGGATCTGCCACCCAGAAAGGCAGCCACCTGTTTGGGGGCCCTTTCCCTCCCTATACTGAGCGTCACAGATGATGCTGGTCACACACTTGCTCATGGTGGGGTTCCTCTTCCCTGCCCTGCGATTTCTCCCCACATTTCTGGGAGGTGTGTGCTTGCCTCTCTTTTTCCTTGTTGCCCTTCATTTAACTCTCCTCCTGGGAAAGCTTGTTGACGAGAGCACTGTTGGTGTGCGGACACCCGCCTCCTTGCCACCTTCTCTCTCCAGAACGCTAGGAAGGGCTCCTGTTTGTGGGTCTCCCGCGACAACGACCTGCCCTGCCTTGTTGCCATCAGGGTACAAGTACTGACTCCAGTCAGTCAGCCACTGCCTGGGCTTTTCGTTTCTTCCTCTTGCACAATTCCCGGTACCAGCCCGCCAAAAGGTCACAGCGACAAGCAAATGCATTCTCAGTGCTCCTTTTCTAGCATTTTCCCTCCCCCTTCAGTCTCTCCAGAGTCTGATCTCCACAGCCGGAGGCCTCGCCAACCTCGGGTTCACCGAGAGCTGAGCTAAGCCGCTGTTGATTCCCATCTGGAACGCATTTAATGCCGCCTGTTCGCAGAGCACAGTATTTAAAGGGTGTGGATGGATGGGTGCTAAAGCAAATTATTCACAGGTCTTATGAAAGACGATTAGGTCCATCTTTGATTTTTTTTTTTTAATGAGGATTTGTGTTTAGAAATACAAACTTCTTTATTGTCAAATTCTAAAATGCAACCAAAACTGCATGTTTGACCAGAGGCTAGGATAATATATATTAAAAAAGGAACTGAAGGAAGCAATATCTGGCATTCATGAGCCTACTCTACATCCTATTCTCCAGCAAATCACACAAGAACCTGTAGAACTTCAATCTGCTAGATGAGGGCAGTTTATAGCTGTTCATCCTCAGATTTTCAAAACTTGGACTGCTATTCAGGACCAAATAGGTACTCTGTATGCCCAAATTATACTGTTCAAAGATAAGACACAATACTGTTACTCCTAATGTATCTTTAGGTTATGGATAGAACGTCAAAGCTCATTGGCTAAACAGGGCTTCTCAAAACCTAATGGGGGATAACATTTGCTACAGCTTTGCTAAGCCACTCCGTGTTTTATGGGGGAGAAGAGATCTTTGTGGAAATGTTGACTTTTCATTTTTTGCATTGCATCCTGATAACTAGAATTTAGAATAGGAACCTAATCATTGCTTTTGTTTTTGGAAAGCTGTGGGAATAAAAATAGGCTGTTGAAAATAGTGCAAGGAGAGCATACATTTTAGTTTAGGAAAATCCTCCTCCCTCCCCAGTTCCAGAAGGAGAAATTATAAGCTTTATTATGCCGAAGTGGGGGGGGGTGGTACAAAGGCAAAGCTGCCTTCTCTGTCCTGGGTTTATGCCACCATCCGCCACTGAGTGAACTGACCAACTGAAGTCATCTCTGCTGTATAAACTCAGGCAGGTGGGTCCATATGCACACTGGCACACCAAATACCAGGTGAAGGGCACCCCGGTCCTGGTCCTGCTCCCTCTCCAGGATTCACAACTACTCTTTGCCTTGTGATGGCTTTTCCCAGGCAGGCAGGGGCAGATCGTCGCTGTGACTAGGCGCCAGGCACCTCCTTGCACCGAGGGCAAGTCCCTCATCACACTTTGGGTATCACTGCCCCTCCCACTCCCCAAGGCCGGCCTGTCACACAGAGACAGGAGCCTCATTGTGCAACCTTGACATCTCTCAGATAACCTTCCTGAAAGGGAAATTTATTTGTAGGAATCCAGGCCAAACAGCTAATAGAATAGAGCCATCTCAAGTTGTTGTTAATGAATTCAGGGAAATAGATGAAGTTTTTCCTGGCATGGTCAGCATGTGTATTTCCCAACAAATCAAAAAATAATTTTCCATATGAAGGAAAAAAAAACCCTCATGACTGTAATTGTTAAAGCATAAAATCTTGGACTTCACAGCCTCCTTCAAAAAATATTACTGCTTTAGGGAAAGTCTAGAAGACAGACCCTTCTACACATCCCCCAGAGACCCTCGGCATTCTTTACGAGATCCTAAGAGCACGTGCCCTGGAGGATTCTGTGTGTGTCACGACTGTTTTTATTTCGCAGTGACTAGTCCTATACTTCAGTAGCTGGGTTCATTATTTATAACAGGTCCATATCACAGTTGAGCTAATATTCAAACAGTTATGGATGTGATACTATGAAGTACTTTTGATAAGATTATATATGCTTAATAAAGTTATTTTTCTTATGTGGTTGTGCTGTGTTTTGTCCTGATTCCTGATCTTGGGGAATGAGCTGTCTTTTTACAAGGTGAAGACAAGGAGATGGAGACATTTCTCCCAAGAGCTGGAACCTGCACTCTGGGGAGGCTGCCTCCTGGGGTCTGAGTGTGGACCCAACATTAGAGTCTGAGTCAAGGTCTAACGGCCCAGGTTCCACTGAATCTGAGTCTCAAAGGCCCGTGTCTCCAGCTGGGGAGGATCCTCGGGGACACCCCCCCCCGCCCCCGCCGGGGTGGGCTTTTCAAATCAGAACTCTCTGGGGATCATTGGAGAGGCCTTAGGAGCTCACAAAGTGGAGGCCTGTGAGGGTCCCGCCCCCTAGTCCTATTGAAGTACGAGCGACTCCGTTTTCAGTTGGTTCTGGATTAGAATTCCACATAAGGTTGCCTTTGGAGGAGAAACTACCTAAAAGAGAGGGTGGGGAGGAAGCCCCTTGAGTTGGTAGCTGAGGTCCCCTATGTGAGGACAAGAAAAAGGGAATTGTCATCAGGTAGGCCTTAGGGGAGGAGGAGTTCCGTACTAAAAAGGGAGGATGCCTCTACGAGATTTGTAGCACTCATTAGCAGGGTGCCTTTAACATGCCGAAGCTGGCCCCTGTATTTATACGTCTCGTTTTCCTTCTGCAAATATTTATCAAACGCTTGTAAGCTGCACGCTGTGCTGGGCTCTGCAGACACAACAGGCAGTGAGAAGCCCTAATCCCCATCCTCCTGGGAATCTCTGGCAACACAGACAAGGATCCTCCCAGGCAAGATCAATTAATCACGAAACTATGCAGTCACAAACTGTGATAAGCCCTGGGAAGGAGAAGTGCTTGGAGAGCCAGGCCCAGCCCTTGCCAGCAGGAGCCGCCCGGCACTCCCCGGGCCACCCCCCCGCCAGAGTGGCACGCGGCACCCAGCAGCACCCAAGCCTCCAGCCCTCGCGGAGAAAAGCTTCACGAATCCTCTAGGGGAAGGAAGCCCAGGGAGATCTGGGAGGCTGCTTCATATGTGATCTCTCCAGCCTTCTTAATTTAAACAGCAGCTCGCGACCTGAGCTGACAGCCCATCCGTGCCGTTGGCTGGTCACCCCCTGCACTCGGGTCTTGATTCTGGCAGAACTGGAAGCTAGTTGCCTCCCGAGACCCGGACCCTCAAGTTGTGAAGAAGCTTGCTGTGCTTTTGAAATACTGCCTCCCGCCCCAGCTCCGTGTGCAGATTTTCATCACCTGTTCACGCGCAGCTCCGAGGTCACAGGGTGGCCAGGTGGGCACCTGCACTCAGCAGCTGGGGGGCTGGGGTGGGCACAGGGAAAGGCACCTTTTTGCGAGGGGGTGTGGGGGCCGCCACAGTTGAACGGCAGGGTTCTGGGTTGCTGGTGGAGACAGGAGGTGGGGAGGTGGTCAGTTCCTCCGGATGCCAAAGCAGGGCAGCGCCCCTGGGGGGCTCTTCTCGCCCTCCTGGAGGCTGGCCTTCGAAGAGGTGTTGGCCCGGTCAGTACCTCCTGGAGGCTGTGCCAGACGGGCCAGGCCGTGCGCACCATCCAATGGCCTCCTCTCGATTATATCAGCAAAGACCCTAACTCCAAATAAGGTCATGTTCTCCAGTGCCAGGTACACGTGAACTTTGGGGAGTGGGGAGGAATACCGCTCAACCGAGTACAAGAAGGAAGTTTTCAACCTAATCTTTGGCTTTTATCACCCTGCTCATTTCCTTTAATAGCATCTTTTCAAATCTGAAATTCTTACCCACTTCGATAAAAATTTATTGAGGGCCAAGGATAGAGTAGTGACAAAAGTCCTTGTTCTCATGGGGATGGCTTTTGGTCCAGGCAGACAAACGGATAATAGGTATTAGTCCAGGTTCTCCAGAGAAACCGAACCAATAGGATGAATATATGTGTAGAGATGTTGATTGTGTGTGTGTGTGTCTGTGTGTGTGTGCACACATGTATAAAACTATAAATGTGTATGTATTTACACAGAGTTACTTTAAGAATCGGCTTATGTGACTGGCAGGCTGGAGACCCCAGAAAGAGTTGGTGTTGCAATTCAAGCCCAAAGGCAGTCTGCTAGCTGAATTCCTTCTTTGGGGTAGGTCAGTGTTTTTCTGTTAAGGCCTTCAACTGATTGGATGAGGCCCACCCACATTATGGAGAACAATCTGCTTTGTGCAGTCTACCCATTTACATGTTAATCTCATCTAAAAAAAAAAAAATTGCAGCAACCATCTAAGATAATGTTTGACCAAGTATCTGGGTCCTGGGGCCTTGACAAGTAGACAAATAAAATCTACCATTACAAGGTCTGACTATGTTAGAAAGAGCTATGGGGGAAATTAAAGTAGGGTAGAGGAATAGAGAGTGGTGGAGGGTAGGAAGCTATACTTTAGATGTGATATTCTGGAAAGACCTCACCAACAAAGGGGTTGTGAGCAGAGACCTGAATGAAGGGAGAGGTGAGCCATAGGGAGATGTTGGGGGGAAATGATCCACACAGAGATTTGAGTGAGACCCTGAGGCGGACCTACCTGGTGTGTTCAAAAAGTACCAATGAGCTCACTGTGGGTGGAACAAAATACACAAGACGGCAAGTGGTAGGAAATGCCTCAGAGAGGTAACCACAGTCCGGGTAGAACCTTAAGGCCCTCTGTTAGGACTCAGTATTTCCTTCTGGACCCGTGGAGGGTTCTGGAAGAGGCAAGGATGGAAGAAGGGAAACTCACTGGGAGGCTGTAGAAGCAAGCACCTTGTTTCTTGACTGTCTCTCTGAGAACTTGCTGCTGGTCTGTTGTCTGCTTCCTTGAGAGACTGGAAACCCCTCAGGGGCAGGAACTTTCTCTTTCTCTCGACTGAATTCCCAGCATCTCCCACTGTGCCCAGTATATGGTGGGAGTCCAATCAATATTTTTTATAGTGAATTTGATAGAATTCACACATTTTGTCTTCACAAAACCCTACAGGGTGGGTACTTTTATTATCCCTATTGTATGCATCCACTTCAAGGTAAAATAACTTGCCCAAGGTCACAAAGCTAAAACATTCATAACAACCAGAAGCATATTTCAAAGCAAACATCAATTCACTGTCAGCTTAACCCTGTAGGATCCACACAGCTCAGCCACCCAGCCTCACATTCTCCCCCCATGTTGGACTCACACCCGACTTCACAGAAGAGGCCTCTGTGGTACAGAAGGCCGGGGGCTGCATGTTAATCTGCGCTGGACTGACTACCTTTCTGACCTTCTGATGTGAGGTGACTGGCAAAGGCACACAGTGAGACTATATACATATGATATATTTTCAAGGAAATGATGAAAGGATAATGAAGTTATTATGGTTAGTGCTAGATATGGCCCAAAGAAAACTAGGAGTCACGACTCAAAAATTATGTATAATAGATTAATACTTTAATAAAAAGAAACACGCTGTTGGGGCGTCTGGGTGGCTCAGATGATTGAGCGTCTGCCTTCGGCTCAGGTCATGATCCCAGGGTCCTGGGATCGAGCCCCTCATCGGGCTCCTGACTCAGCGGGGAGTCTGCTTCTCCCTCTCCCTCTGCCTCTCCCCCTGCTCATGCTCTCTCTCTCTCTGTATCTCTCTCAAATGAATAAATAAAATCTTTATAAAAAAAAAAAAAACGCTGTTGTTCAGGAGAGATTTTTTTCTAGAAGGAATATATCCAATGAGTCCTTATTAAATAGTCACCCATCAACACACATAACCATTTCTTGTAAAAGTTCATGGTAAAAGGGAACATAAAAAAGCATGTTTCCATTCAGGTATATCTACAGAGAGGGTAAGTTACTGAGCTGCAGATATCTGTCTGGTGCATGAACCCGATGGAAAGGTAAAGCTTAGACTGCGCAGGTAGCCAGCCAGACCGTGAGACCAATGGTTTCCACATGCTTTTGATGATGACCCACTGGGGTGAGGGAGGGGAGGCACCACACATTTTACACAATGGCCCAATATTTATAATTGGAACAAGTTTCACGGTATTTACCCCTCCTACGTATGATACAGTCTTGTATGTTCTCTATAGGATGTCTTTTTCTTTTTTTTAAGTCCTGGTCACAATCACGAAGTTGATTCCATGACTTACTAATAGGTGGCAGCCCACAGTTGGAAACCCACTTACTTAACCAGTGCTTCTCAAACGGGACTGTGCATAAGAATCATTTGGGGACTTTATGAAAATGAGCGTTCTTGTTCAGCGCACGTGGGCAATGCGGAGTCTGAATTTGCGTTCTGACACCCTCCCGAGGCGGGGGGGGGGTTGGTCACTGCTGCTGATTCGTGAACCGCACCGCGACTAACAAAGACTCTCTTTTGTCACGCGGGAGTATCTGCTCAACTTTGGATGGGAGCAGGAGAGAATCAGATTCACTAAGAACTCCAACAAGAATCGGGAATGCAAATATGGCTCTTAGAGATCAATTATCCAATCCTTTGTGCCTGATACTTTTTAAATACACATAGATGTGGTTTCCCTGGAAACTGACACAGCCCAAGATAGCATCAAGTAAAGCTTATCTCTGCATTAACAGTTTATCAGGAATCGAGTCAATGGCCAGCTGAGGGGGAAAGAAAACATCTGGAAGGAGGAAGGGGACGCCCCTGGAAGAGAATATGGGAAGGCAGCAGACACAAGCTTTGCCCATTTTATTGCCTCTCTCCCTCCATGGGCCCTGGCCTTGACAAAGGTTGCTAATATTGGTAGGCTGGTTCCCAAACATGGGAGGGAAATAATGAAGTCCATACAGCTCGTCAATCCAGTTAAGTGTGATTTGGTTCCTGTTCCATATGCGGTGGTCTTCACCAGCAGCCCAGGTGATTCAGGGACTCCCAATTCTCGTCCATTTCCAGCAAGGGGACAATGTTTTCCATTCTCATTTCTCCTCCAGCCTGTTTTCCTGTGGCTTTATATCATCATCTGTCTCGAACATCACTGCCAACCACACTGGGAATGGGAGCTGGGTGGGGA